ACATCAGCATGCTATGTTGCATTTGTCCAGTGCTGAAAAAAGTACAACATGAGCTACTGTTTCTTCTTAGTCTAATGCTAGGAGTTCAAATGCATGCAACAGTGCACAAATGTGCATAAATGCAATGCAAAAGCAACATATGTAAGACACACACCAACGCATTGCAATGTGTTACAATAAAAGGCAATGCGACACAATATGCATGCATTGTGGTGCGAATATGTATCCAGAATCCGATTAGTGCTCTTAACATATGTAAACGAGACTAAATGCAGCTAAAGCAGGACAAAGTGATCTGGGAGGCATAAAAGTTGTTTATACTTCCTGGACCACTTCAAAGGCATAACACAGGAGTGACAGTGTGAATGAGGCCTAAGGAGAGCCTGTCCCCTTATGATAGCAATAGTTATTGTTTGTTAAACCTTTTTTTTTTTTTTTTTTTTTTTTAAACACCCCCCCCCCCCAAAAAAAAAACAAACCCAAAACTACTTTTAAAGCCCCCTACCCCCACGCATATGAATGCAAAAGGGTGCTTTGGGTACACAAAGTATAATATGATGCTTGCTTCATGTGTTGGCTATCATGTGGCATAATGCACATTAAAGCAGCGCAACAGAGTGACTGGGCCCTAAACGTACAGTTAGTGATTGTAAATGCTCAGCTTTTTTCTTCGTTATTAAAATAATAAACATGTTATATGTACCTGCTCTGTGCAATGGTTTTGCACATAGTGGCCCTGAATTGGCCTCTGCTGGCTTCTTTTTGTCTGCAAGAGCTTGCTATGGGATTAAACATGTGGGTTAGATCTGGGCTGTATGGGTCCATAGCAGCACACAATGTTGCCTCTGTTCTTGTGAGGGAGAAGCAATGCTGCTCTTGGGGAACAGCGCTGGATCTAAAGAGGACCCAGGTGGAGCTTTACTTTAAAATGGTTCTAAAAAAGGCACAGTTTTTACTATGCATTAAACAATGGTGTGCAGTAATCATGATAACTAAAAGTCGGCTTTGATTGTTGGCCAAGGCAGTTTCACAGTTAACAGTGGTTGCTGTGTTATACACGAGTAGTATTTTTGCTGTTAGGTCTCTTGCACACTGCAGCTTGAAAAGGCTCAGTACAGAAAATTTTTTTTTCTTTATTAAATGCAACCTGTGGTACCTATGGGTACTTCTGTAGTACCATCAATTTTTGCAGTGCTTTACAGATGTACTGTACATAAACATCAGTCCTCAAGGAGCAGTGCTAACCACTTAGCTACTATGTTCATATGCATAAATACATGCATATGAGCATAAATATGAATGATTTTGCCTAGGAATGTATTGTGAGCTCAACACAAAAGCCTGAAATTATGTCCAGAAATGCTGTTGCTCAAACATCAGTACTGTGTACAAGAGGTCTAATAAATAAGTGCTTTAAAATGTGGCCTATATGATGTACAGGTGAAATGCACTAAACATTGTTCAGAATAATTTTTTGCAGTATTCATCATTATATACACTATAGTTGCAGATATATTCGAATCATAGTTCAAAATCAATAATCTTAGAAGCCGTCTTATTTGCTCCCTTATTTGTAACGGATGTCTGATCTAAAATTGTCACATTCTGAGTACAGTGGAACCTCAACCTACGAGCGAACTAACGTGCGAGTTTTCCGAGATACGAGCAGTCGCTCGGACGATTTTTTGCTTCGGCACGTGAGCAGAATTTTAAGATACGAGTTCGAGGCGCGCGCAGCTCTAAGTGTATATTTTCAAGGTGCGCGCAGCTCAGAGGGTATGAGTCACAGCATCCTATCTCCGAGCCTTTCTCTCTCTCTCGCTGTCTACACGTGATTGAAATCCCAACTTCTAACTTTGTTGTAACCATGGCACCAAAGAAAGCAAGTGGTAGTGCGAGTACCGAGAAGAGGAGGATGATGTCCCTCGAAATAAAGCTTGAAATCGTCGAGAAGCATGAGCAAGGCATGCGAGTAAAGGAACTGGCCAAGCACTACGACCGTACAACGTCAACAATCTGCACCATCTTAAAACAGGAGTCCCTAAAGAAAATTAAGCCAGCCAAAGGTGTCAAGATTATTTTAAAGCGCCGTACAGATTTGCATGAGAAGATGGAGAATCTGCTGTTGGTGTGGCTGACGGAAAAACAACTTGCCGGAGATACCGTCACCGAGGGAATAATCTGCGAGAAGGCGCGCAGTATTTTTTCAGATTTACAACAGCAAACCCCAGGCACTTCAACGGAGGAGGAATCCTTTAAAGCCAGTCGGGGCTGGTTTGATAATTTTAAGAAAAGGACGGGGATTCACTCCGTTGTTAGGCATGGTGAGGCAGCAAGTGCTGATGTAAAGGCAGCAGAGGAGTTTGTGAAAACTTTCGCAGAATTCGTCGAGGAAGAAGGATACATCCCCCAGCAAATCTTCAACTGTGACGAGACAGGGCTGTTCTGGAAGAAGATGCCGAGGAGAACATACATCACCGAAGAGAGGAGGATGCCAGGACACAAACCTATGAAGGATAGGTTGACCCTCGCCCTGTGTGCCAATGCGAGTGGTGACTGCAAAATAAAGCCGCTACTCGTATACCATTCGGAGAACCCCAGAGCCTTTAAAGCACACAAGATAATAAAGGAGAAACTCCATGTTATGTGGAGGGCAAACCCTAAGGCGTGGGTCACCAGGCAGTTCTTTATCGACTGGGTAAACCTTGTGTTTGGTCCTTCGGTGAAGAAATATTTGAAGAAGAACAACCTGCCCCTGCGAGCCCTTCTCGTCCTCGACAATGCTCCTGCACATCCACCACAGATCGAGGAAGAAATACTTGATGAGTATAATTTTGTGAAGGTTCTCTACCTTCCTCCAAACACCACCCCTATCCTCCAGCCAATGGACCAACAGGTAATATCAAATTTCAAGAAACTCTACACCAAGCACCTGTTTCGCCGTTGCTTTGAGGTGACGGAGAACACAAACCTCACCCTTCGAGAGTTTTGGAAGGAGCATTTTAACATAGCAATAGGCCTCAAAATCATCGATATTGCCTGGCAGGGGGTTACGAAAAGGACCTTGACCCTCTGCTTGGAAGAAGCTGTGGCCTGAAAATGTGGCTGAAAGAGATTTTGAAGGGTTTGAGATTGAGGAAGAAGAGGAGCCAGTGGAGGAAGAGATCGTGTCCATTGGCAAGACTATAGGTCTGGAGGTGGATGAAAGAGACATCGAGGAACTCGTTGAGGAGCACTCCGAGGAACTTACGACTGACGAGTTAAAGGAGTTACAAGAGCAACGGCACACAGAAGCATTAACTGAAGCTACTTCGGAGGGAGAGGAGACAGAGCCAGAGATAATCAGTACAAAAGACCTCAAGGATATTTTGGCAATGTGGGAGAGGGTGGCAGGTTTTGTTGAAAAGAACCATCCTGAAAAAATTGCAACGAGTCGTGCGACAGAGCTTTTCAACGACACGTGCCTACGTCGTTTCAGAAACATTCTCAAAGGGAGAATGAAACAGACTTCCTTAGACATGTTTCTTAAGAAAAGGCCTTCAGCTCGAAGTGAGCAAAGTGTGGCAAAAAGGCCAAGAACTAGTGAAAGTGAAGAGAGTGATGAGAATTAAGCGAAAACAAAAATCATCTCCAAGGTAAGTAAATTGTATACAACCTTATTATATCTTCATATTTTCTTTCTATTTTGTTTTTATATAATATTAGTTATGTAAAAAGCTTTTTTCCTTATGAAATAACAAGAAAAATGAAAAATATGAGGTGCCATTTTGAGGGTTGGAACGGATTACGGCCGTTTCCATTATTTCTTATGGGGAAAATTGATTTAACGAGCGAGCATTTTGAGTTACGAGCTCGGCCACGGAACGAATTAAACTCGTAAGTTGAGGTTCCACTGTATATAGTTTTGTACTTTTTTTTTTTTTTGGTCTGGTGGTGTTCTGTTAGTCACCACTAGATGGGGATGAAGCTGCATGAATCACATTTATTTTGTTTTTAGATGACAACAGTAAGTAATACTAGTTCAATATTATTTAGGTTTGCTGTTTCAAAGGCATTTGGGCCTCAAGTACAGCCCCAGCTTCTCTATAGTGCCATGTATGAGTTTTATTTTTAGTTTTGCTTAAAAAAAGTTGGAGTAGCGGAATATTGTTGTGAAAGAAAACGTTTGCTATTGGGCTGACTTTGTAAAGAATGTTTTATGCAGCATTTTGAAAATGTAATGTATACATAATATTTGGGTCACATTCAAGCATGCAGTGTAACCAGACACGCTTATTTGCAGCTCCAAAGCAAAAGTCACAATCTTGCTCAATGTTACCCCGCAGCTTCAAATTTTGTCTCCATACCTGCTTAGCTGACCTCAGCAGACCATGGACATTTGCAACATGAGGGATTGTTTCCTAATGGTAAAAGTGGATGAAATTGCGCTGATGTGCATAAAATTTGAGATAGAGGTGCCAGCGTTGAACAGTGTGCAAGCTCTGTAGAGGACACCCTTTAAACAGCAACTACAAACTTTCTGGGGAAAAAAGGGTCAAAGCAGCTGAAGATAAGGCTGACATCCTTTAAAATAGGTTGTGCCATAATAACATTAAGCTAGTTGGCCTCCCAGGAAAATAAACAGAGGATTACGATCCTGCAGAATTCTTGGGGCATTGTCATATGGAGTAAGGATATTCTGTCCCTTTGCTTTATTATGCACATTGGATTTCTGCTAGGCTACCAGGAAGCCTGCCTGTCGAGGGTAATCCCATGCTGAATTATCGAGACAGAAATTATATTTGGTGCAAAGTGAAGAATATAAGCCCTTTAACTACTTGCCAACCGCAGATAGCCGAATGACGGCTACACTGCGGCCGGCCAGTTCTGGGAGGGCGTCATATGACGTCCTCCCAGAACCCGCTCTCCTGCGCGCCCCCGGGGGCATGCACCCGGCGATCTCTGTGATCGCTTTGTCCTACGGACACAGCTGATCACGTGATGTGGTAAAAGGTCAATCACAGCGGCCTTTTACCACGTGATCAGCCGTGTCCAATGACACGCTGATCACGGGGAAATGCAATTGCCAGTTCTCGGCTGCACTTTCCTCACGCTGTCAGAGCGTGAGGAAAGTACTGCCGAGAACCGGCAGTTGTCAGAGCAGGGATCAGCACCGATTATCAGTGCCCTGATGATCGGTGCCCAGCAGTGCCACCTACCTTTGCCCAGAAGTGCCATCTACCTGTGCCCAGCAGTGCACCCACCTGTGCCATCCACCTGTGCCCACCAGTGCCACCCACCTGTGCCCGTCAGTGCAGCCCAGCAGTGCTGCCAGTCAGTGCCCTGCGGTTGTGCCAGTCAGTGTCCAGCAGTTGCGCCAGTCAGTGCCCAGCAGTGATGCGAGTCAGTGCCGCCTATCAGTGCCACCTATTAGTGCCCATCAGTGCTGCCTCATCAACGCACATCAGTGAAGGAGAAAAATTACCTGTTTGAAAAATGTTATAATAGAAACAAAAACTTTTTTTTTTTCAAATTTTTTGCAATTTTTTTTGTTTATAGCGCAAAAAGTAAAGTGCCCAGCAGCGATTAAATACCACCAAAAGAAAGCTCTATTTGTGAGAAAAAAATGTTAAAAATTTCATATAGGTACAATCTTGCATGACTGCGCAATTGTCAAAGTGCGACAGCGCTGAAAGCTGAAAATTGGCCTGGTAAAGAGGGGGTATAAGTGCCTGGTAGGCAAGTGGTTAAAAAGCAACAGCACTAGGGTATCACTTTATTCAGGTTATTCTTCACTCAATTTCGAGCAATCGACATCTCTGTAACGCAGGTTTTTCCCCGTACCATGGTCTGCCCTGGAGAGCTAAGCCCTGGTTCGCACTGAGGTGTCCTTTTATCATACAATCGTAAATGACCGCCGCTCAATTCTTCGGCACTCTCAGAGAAGAGAGTTCTCCTCTGAATGCTTTTTTATGAAGCGGTATAGATCGCTTCTCCGAATGAACAGAGAGTAACCTACAACGCTTTGAATGCTGGAAAACGGCTGCTGTTACTATAATCTCGCGAAATTACAGTAAGAGATCAGTCAAACACCATTTACTAAGCGGTGGTAAATTACTGCTGCTTCGTTTGTGGTTCCCCCGATTCTCCAGCTCTGGGCTGGAGAATCTGGAGGGAGAACACAGATCGCCAGTGAAGGGCTGACATCGCTCCTTCATACACTGGCCATCTGTGTGCTGAGATAATCAGTGGAGAACATGTTCTCCGTTGATCATCTCTGTTTCCTAAACCACTAATGATCTGAGATCAGCAACGATCCTTAGGATCGCCGCTGATGTCTGTTTCATAAAAGGACACCTAAATCTGTTATTGAAATTGTGTGACTTCACACAATTTCAAAGCCGCAGGTCAGTCCAATTTCAGGTGCGACTTGCCTGACATCTGCAATAGTAAATTGTATTAAAAAAAGAAAAAGCTTCAATAGGTGGCATACACCATGTTGCACCTAATTCCTTGTGATTCAGTAGATTTCTTCTTTATCTCTAAATTCAAACTAGTCCATATGTTAGATTATATAAAAACACACAATGTCCAGATACTATGCTTACAAGAAATCCTAACAGGTCAAAAGATTCTGTTGCTTAAAAAAAGAGGACATGATCCCTTCCCCCTACATGTCACCCCTCCCACTGACTGGGGCTTCTTCAGGGCATAGCTATGGATTGGTTGGCTGCCACTCCTCGATATTGATATATAGAAGAGTATGAAAACATGTCGGCGGAGGGATCATGTCCTCCTTCACGTGCCATCCCCCGATGTGATACTGGAATGCATGCTGGCTTTCTGGCCCAGTCTGTGAGGTTGTGCCGACTTGGACTCTTACATGGATATTGTCACATGCTGAAGGACACTGCATCATCTGGCTACTGAGATTATGAGTATTATGCCCATCAGATGACCAGTAGACCGGCTCTGGTGATGTTATGAGGGAGAGAGCGCGTATTGGCATACCTACTACAGTTATGAGCTGAGTTACACTTCATTGGAGGAACATGGGTTACCCCGTTCAGCTGCTCTCCTCTTTTGTGGTGGAACTACACCTTGTGTATTCAATATTTATGCATACAAATTGGACCTTCTCCTGTTAGTCGGATTTTATTTTCTGATATACTTACTGTCACAGGCACAATTCCAGAGGGACTAAAGGGGGATTATTTCCACCTGCAGGGGATAGGGGGACTTTAGGGATTAGAGAGTGATGGAGGGTTAGCCCTTGGTGCCCTTGTTTCGGGAGGGAGGAGGGGGGCCCGTAGGATTGCTGGGGTTGCCCTGGGGAGGGGAGGTTTGTGTGGTGGAGGGTTGGTTGGGAGTCGGTGGGGGGGATATGGATAGGAATGTGGTACATGCATTGTTTGACTATATGATACATTGGTCTCATTGTTACGTCCTGAATGAATTTATACTGCTTATTAGCCTTTGCGGTGCTATATCCTTTTGTGGGGTTCTTCTTTAGAGTGTACTGGTGTTGGATGCTTTTCCCCTTTTTATTCAGATTGGCATTAGCAGATATACCATTCCCTGGACAGGCCACTGGCTGTGTGGTGTTTTTTTTTTTTTTTTTTTTTTTGTGTGTGTGTGTCCCAATGTTTCCATGCCACCTACTCCTGCTTTGCTGTGAGGAATCTATACATGTTTGGGAGGTGTGACGAACACGGCGTCAGATCCCTGACCTTCTCACAAACGTGTGACCAAAGGACTGGCCAATCTAAAACCACGATGTCACATGCATAATGCCACACCCAGCTGCACCCTGCACAACGATTTTCCAGCTAATTGGACCACAATCTATGTACTGGCAGCCTGAATGCGATTGTTACTGGGTCAGGTTAATTGCGCAATTAACCCTTCACCCTGCCAACACCTCCTTTTTGTACAGAGAAAGAGGAAACTTGTCGATATCAGCTATAACACTATAATGGTTGAGATAATCATCTGTATAACATGGTCACCGCAGGCTGGTTATACAGAGGGTTAAACAAACACAGTAGCGCTCTTTTAGAGGCAGGAATTCGTAAATTGCAATAAAGAGCTATAGAAACAGTTCAACACTTTCAGAAAGAAAGATTTATTACTAAAAGGTCAAAAGGGTACAATAAAAATATTTGCAGAAAAAAGTAGTTCCCCAGCAGGGGGGTGTCTCTGAAGTCAAGGTCCAATACCCCGTTTAGGGTGGGAAGTTCTGGGCATAGACCTAAACTAGAGCCAAAATCTCTTGTAGTTTATATTTTGGCTCATAACTTTCCCTGTGCACAAGTGACACTCCACCTGCGGGTATATTATTATTCAGACACGTCTGAGGATTGATTAGACATGAAATCTGAAATTCTACACTGAATGGTTCACGAGATCTACTTTTCTGCTTTCCTGTTCGTCTCCTCTTGGCCAATCTGACGATATGCCTGGTTTTTATGTAAGTCTCTCATATTCCAAGATATGAAACATAGGGGAAAAATGTATTTTTAAAAGTGTTATCTGGTCGTGCTTCTCTGGACTTCCTTGGAACTCCTGGGAAGGCTTGAGTTATCTTTTTACGAGGTGCTAGGTTGCACAGGTTCTTTGGACAGCGAGGCCCCAGCTCCCTTGGGGGTTTTATAGCTCGCAGCCCCCTGCTGGGCTCTGGCCTCCTGTGACACTCCTAACCCAGGGGCCATATGTCAATGTGTATGAACAGAGAGGAAAGGGGGAGAATGAGGGGGAAGTATGTTTGTACAAGATGGAGGATCCTTTGCCAAGATGGAGGTTGATGCCAAAATGGTTGAACCGCGTCCATCTCTGGGTGTACGATTGCGACAGGAGGGGTTTAGCTTTCCAATTAGTTTCTCTCTGCAAAGGTCATTATCTTATAGTGCACTGGTTCACTCTGTCCCCCTCCTTTTGGTGAGGATGTACCTGCAACGCACATGCAACAATGGTTGTTTATTGAGATAAGCAACAGGATATCACAGGTTTGCCCCTGGTCAGCTATATTAATGGTTTCAACTTAGTACTAAACCCTTAACTTCATAAGTTGAGTCTTCCCTGGTTGGATTTTTTTTTTCAGTTCGTATAGTGCTATTAGCTAAGATTTGGGGATGGAAAAAATTCAGAGATAGAAGAATTTTCCTGTTGGTCAAAGCCGTTCAGAACTCTTTCTAGAATAGACTGTATGCTCACCACTACAGGTGGTTGCCATGTGTACTAGATACGAATTACTTCCCACAAACTTTATATGACCACTTCCCCTAAAATGATCTTCTGCTGGACCGCAGGTTTGATGTTTGAGCCTCATACGGGCACCCACTGATGCCTGCCTATGTTTTGGTTGCCACTGGTTACCCTCTGGAGCTGCCTATGTCTGTCTCACTTGGTATGGTGGCATCCCATGTGGGAAGTGGGGTATGTGGGCATATATGTTTGCACAGTCTGCAAAGTTTTTGCCTTGAGAAAGAGATGGTTTGAGCTCTGATGAAACATCAGAAACAATGAATAGTTATTCTTGAACCCATTCCCCTGCTTCAAGACCTAAAGGTGCCTCAGCTTTCCCTTGTTGACATATTGATGCTTTTGACTGCAGTGCACCCAGTCAGATATTCATCTTATATGTGCATTGACTACTACTGGAAAATGTTACATTTAAACCTAAACTAAACTTGGCAGCTACAGGGATAGGGGGAGACCTTTGTTATTACATGGAAGTACAAACTGCATATTTGCTTTATGTAGCAGACTTGCCTACTTGTCTGTTCTTCTCCAGTGCTCACAGATCCAAGCTCACAGTTGCTACCATTTTGTTCAGCACTTCTGCTGAACCCCAGATTTTTGGTCTTTTTCTCCTATATACACTCACTGGTCACTTTATTAGCTACACCTTGCTAGCACCGGGTTGGACCCCCTTTTGCCTTCATAAATCTTCATGGCATAGATTCAACAAAGTGTTGGAAACATTCCTCTGAGATTTTGGTCCTTTTTAACATGAGTTACTGTTGCCTTACTATTATCTTGAACCAGTTTGCTCATTCTCTTCTTACCTCTGACATCAACAAGGCATTTTTGTCCACACAACTGCCACTCACTGCACATTTTCTCTTTTTCGGACCATTCTCTGTAAACCCTAGAGATGTTTGTGAGTGAAAATCCCAGTAGATAAGCAGTTTTTTAAATACTCAATCCAGCCCGTCTGGCACCAACACCCATGCCATGTTCAAAGACCCTTAAATCCCCTATCTTCCCCATTCTGATGCTCAGTTTGAACTTCAGCAAGTCGTCTTCACCATGTCTACATGCATGCCATGTGATTAGCTGATTGGCAATTTGTGTTACCAATCAATTGAACAGGTGTACCTAATAAAGTGGCTGGTG